TGTTTGGGAATGTTGGTGATTTATATGTTGTAATTGTATTTTGGAAGTTATTTTCACAAGTAGTGTAATGAATATGTGACCTAAGTGTATGATGTTATTTATGGATGTGACCTGACATAAACTCATGTTGCAGGTGTGGGAATTCATACTACCACAATATAAATGGTTTCCAGAACAAGATGTTGTTGAAGTCATTATGGATGAAGATGTTGCAAAACTTGGACCTCTGTATTTCATTATATCCTACCTGTTCCCAAGAAATTACAAAGATAGGGAAGCATAAAAAAGTAGAGGAGATTGTCAGTGATGGATATAATTTTATGTTTACTATAAAATGATGAACAAAGTCTGTATAGTTAATGTTAGAATTTTATTTTTAGTTGTGGATTGAACATTGGATAATCTTTAGTATCATTTCCAGTCTAGATTTGCAGTTGTTTATGTGAATGGAACAAGTTGTACATTTATCAATTTTTTTTGGTTTCATTTTCATTGTAGTGGGTCTGTGTTTGATGATATAGGTTTGGTCACATAATAAGCGTGCACAGGTCACAGGTCATAACATTGGGTTACATATTGCATTCTGAATCAAACTTACAGGTCACGGGCGTCTGAATCATAAGTGTTAACAGGTCATAGGTTTCTGAATCGTAGTGTTCTAGAGGTCACAAGTTTCTGAATCATAGTGTTAACAGGTTACATGTTTCTGAATCATAGTGTTCTCAGGTCACTGGTCTCTGAAATATATGTGCTCACAGGTCACAGGTTTTCTGAATCATAAGTGTTGACAGGTCATAGGTTTCTGAATTGTTTTTTGAAGTGAATTTGTAAAAGTTACAGCCTATACATACAATTTATTTAGGTCATTTGAGTCACTTTTTTAACAAATATTAACCAATTTTGTTAGGTCACAGACTATACATACAACTTATTTAGGTCTTTGGCATTAGGTGACATTTTCCAAGAATATTAACACATTCTTTTTTATTTTCCCTACAGTGAATAGCGCATTGGTCACACAATCAGTGTTAACACGTCACGGATCCTTGTATAGGTCACACACAGCAATCATGATGGTCACATTTGACAGCATGCATAATTAACTCTCCAACTCCAAATAAACTAAATGCATAATTCTTATTCCAATGCTATATGAATGGCATGCTACAACTAATTAAAGAATGTTTATCCTTTCTTGAATTTGGTTTAATGGAACTAAGCTACTGCATTTTCTGCGATTGTGACCAAGTCCTCCACAACATCCACATTTCAAAGTCAGCTTCCCTTCACTGAATGACCTTCTTCTCTTTTCGGCGGGTCTACTAGAACTCATTTTCTGATAAGAAAACATTTGTTTTCAATTTTTCGCTACAGATTGGAGCCTTCAATTCTACTGTGACCGGAATTGAATTGACAACCGAAAACTCCGTACAGAAAATGAACTGTGATCGGAATTGAAAACCTTCAAATGGTGATCGGAAATCTGTGACCGGTGATGACGAACTTCGATATGTGACCGGAAATATCATCTGTGCTGCCATCAATTTTGTTAACGAGATGGATCTCTGTTAGGACTGAAACTGGATTTGTATTTTAGAGAGGTGATTTGGTATTTATGGAGTTCTAATTGCACGCTTAATTTAAGAAATGTAATCTAACAGATTATTGATTAATCAATATAATTAATTAATTGAGGAAAACTCGGATTTTTGAAATCTGTAAACTTGATGCCTGAATATTGATTGAGCGAAAGATAATATCGGATCCATGATTGTTTCCCTATTTTTTAAGGTAGACTCGGGAACATAATATATTTGGTGACCACAGCTTCAAGTCTTCAACTGTCAACATCATTCATAAATAAATGTTTGACCGACTTTTTCACCATCCACGAACGGTATAGACTGCAACCTTATCATCCATTTGGGATTAGGATATGAGTATTGACTAATTTTTAGGTAAAACTACATTTGGGTTCCCAATCTATTGAAAATGTAACAAATAGATCTCAACTTATTATTTTGATCCCTCGACCTTTCTATTCAGAGCACTCAAGTCCTCAATATTCAATTTTACCATTATCATATAACACCATTGCACTCCATTTTAATTATAAATGTTTTCAACATTTTTCCATTTTTACACTTATATTCCTAACTTTTTATCGAACTTTTATATTTAACTCTAAATTAATTAGTATATCTTGATGGTTCTTGGCTATATATTTTTCGGCATGCGGAAAATATTTTGTTGAACTTTTGTATTTTTTATTTATCTTTCTAATTTAAAAGCACAAAGAATAAAATAAGTTCGTTTACTCCGCCCGATGAGTTTTTAATTAGCTGGAGGTTGAAACTAAAAATACGACAAAAAAAGTTGAGGATGTAATTGTGAAAGATTTTAAATGCTTGGAACATGACACGCTTTTACTAGCCAGAAACGAGTTTTAAGGAACAAATATATAAGCTTAAAAAGTACTGCAACGATAATTACATTTTAGCCAATTAATTTGATGATAATACAAATATTGGAGAGAATAAATCATACATAGTGATCTTACCAAAAATCGTCACCTGTTGGATCCCGAGCTTGATCACTGAGATTGAGCACGAACAAGATCTTCCGGTACCTGAGACAAAGGTGTCGAGGTGTGTCCTCGTCGCCCCTCCAGTACTTAAGTCAANAATGTATGTGTGGAAAACGTACCTGAATAATGGATGAAAATAGTGTATTTATAGAGGTAGGTAGTTGAGTCCTAGAAGGACGCATCTCCTTATTGTTAGGAGATAGCGTAGTGATTGGAGTTGTATGAAAGTCTCCTTCCTTATCTGAAGTTCTTGTACTAGAAGATTCCTAGACGACCTAGAACTTGTGAACAACAGTAGTTGGATTGGACTAGGACACCTTCCGGGAGGAGGGTTATTGACGTTTGATTACAGAGCAGTTTGGAAGATTGACAGAGTAAATATCCCGAGGACTTATATGCCCCGAGGATTATTAACTTGGCATTGGAGCCAATCTGGAGAGCCCGTCCTCGAGCACTTAGGTATCCCGAGGACTAGAAGTTCAACATTTCCATATTTGAAGTGTTCCTCAAGGTAAAACTCCTTCAGGACCTAGGATTCCTAATTTGAGGTAATTGGATAGGGTTAGGGCTCTTTCGGGACGAAGACTAGTAACGCTTGATCATGGGGCACTTTGAGAATTTGGCTAAGGCAAAATCCCGATCATATACCCCCGAGGACTACCAATGTGATTTTGGAGGTATTTTGGAAGGTCCATCCTCGAGGTATCTCGAGCACCATGCAAGCTCGAGGACTCGGGTCCCATAATCCAAGAACTATCTAGATAGATCAAATATACCGATTTGTCTAGTTTCAAAGTGGAATGGCACGGCTTGACTTGTAACGAGTGTGGCTTGTGGGTGAACTTGTTTCTAATATCGGACTATGTAAGCTCAATTAAGCTTGCAACCTATATTTCACCATTCAACTTAGAAAAGTCGTAATGTATGAGATGTCATAGAATTGAGACAAATTGATACGTGAAAAGCACGACTTGACCCATGAGGCATGAAGAGTGGGGAGGCTCACCTCTACACTGGACATTAGGGTAGATTAGTCGCTTGTCAGTTTGAAGGAGGTTAGGGTAGACTAGTGGAGCTCTTAATTCTTAAAATAATATCAAACAACACACACATATATTTTAAATAATATCTTATATCGAATATCTCCAACCTTGTCAATAAACAAGGAAAGACGAGAGTCTCCTCATGTCGACCTTTTTTCTTTTTCTTTTTTTGGAATGATATTGTATTTTTGAACTATCTAGATAGGTAAAATATATCGATTAATCATGTTATAAGTACATATTTTTTGACAGACAACACTTGGCGCGACACTATTAGAAGATGGGAAAAAAATGTCAATCATGTTCGACTATGTCAACCTCGGTATCAATTATGTTAAAATTTTCCAATTCTTGGAGCTTTATTGTATAACGATTTATCCAGCTTCAAAGTGACATGGCACGTGCTGACTTGTAACAAGTAGTGCCTTGTGGGTCAACTTGTTTCTATTTTCACGGGCTAGCGGGTTAACCGTGGCCCGTGAAGGTGCAACCCGCGAAGTCCGTGGATCACACCTTCTTGACCCGTGAATCGTCCGCTCGGGTCACGGGTCGACTCGCTGTCTCGGGTTGATCCGGGCCGATTTTTACGGGTCTGACCTGCCCGTCCGTCTTGACAACTCTACTTCAAAAGTACTACAACGATAATTATATTTTAGCCAATTAATTTGATGATAATATAAATATTGGAGAGAGAAAATCTTGCAGAGAAATATTAATATTGTTTGTTTTTATATAACATTAAAATAAACAAATGATAAAATAATAAAATGTTAATATAGTTTTTTTTTTTTTAAACAATTTGATTATATTGTTATTTCTAACAAAGTTACGAAGTTAAACAAATACAAATAAATTTTTTATATAACATTAGAATAAACAAATGATAAAACGTTAAAATGAATAAAAATAAAAAACAAAAATAACATGAATGCTGTCTATATTATCACCGGTTACCACATGGAAAGAGTTAGCCGCCAAAAGCAGTTATTATCACCTATTAATCTTCATAATTAACTCACTAATTAACTTCCATCCTCACACACACTCTCTCTCTCTGTGCATAGAACTGTTAGTTTGATAAGGTTTGTTGGTGGAAGTCTACTGCGATTCAATACTAGTAAAAGACAACAGATTATTAGGGACAAAATCTTTCTTCAGGTAATCTCTATATCCGTCTTATGTCTTTTTGCTTCAGTACCAGGTTGTCTTCTACTATCTCTACTTCCCATTTTTTCATATTACGGTTATAGTTATGCAAGAAAATGAGTTTTCTTATATAGCCAAACTTTCTGGTTTCTTTGTTTCTTTCTTCTTCTCGAGTAGAAGTAAATGTAAAATGCATGTATGTTGTATTTATAGGTTGCATCTCCATGGCACTGAGCTACTACTCAAATTGGGAGGCACCGCAGCATCTCAACTCAGATATCAGCTGCTCCTTTGCACAAACGCAGACGGAACTGGAACCTGAGCTGCTCGATTTTAACAATGATTTCGTGCTTACTGACGCCTGCATTGATCCTCTCTTCCAGCCCAATGACACATTTTACCCCATCAATTATAATACTCTAATTCCTGATCCTCCCAACACTCCAAGGATAGAACCTATTCTTCTCGAAGAGTATGAATCCTACAACTACTCCAAACGTCAAAAGTCTTACAATTACCAAGACTATTATTCGGAGTATCCGAACGGTTTATTCTGCGGGTATCCAAACCCTAGCATGCTCCAAGATTTTTCTTCGCCAGAAGTTATGGTGCCGCCGTTTTCTGATTTTTCAACTGCTCCACCAGTTTACAGAAGTGGAAGTTCTGAAAGTGTAGGGAAGAAGCCTAATGGTGGAAGCTTATCGGCACAGAGCATTGCTGCAAGGCAGAGGAGGAGGAAAATCACCGAGAAAACTCAGGAGCTTGGGAAACTTATTCCTGGTGGCCAGAAAATGAACACTGCTGAAATGTTCCAAGCTGCGTACAAATACATCAACTACTTGCAGGCCCAAGTCGGAATTCTTGAATTCATGGGATCGAAGCAGGTAATTTGGTTTCTATCTAGTGTCCCATTTGTTCTCATCTTCCAAATAGATTACTCAAATTAGAAGTATAGACAAGATTTTAGCTTTCTTTTTCTTATGAGTATTCTCTCAAGTCTACTGCATTAAGCACGCCACTAGTGTTCTGTAGACTTTTTAAGGACGGAAATTTGCTGAAATATGATAATCTTAGTAATTTGTGATTTTCATCTGGAAAGAATTGGGTTACCGATTTCCAAATTTTATTTGCAGGAAACGTTTTCTGGTGAAGAATTGCATAATCTTCTCGAATCGCCATTAATCCAAGAAAAGTTGTACTCGACAGATAAATGCTTGGTTCCACAAAAGTTTGTACAAGCCCTAGCAAATGATCATGAAATTCAGCCAAAACTTCAGGTTCTGAAAGAACTTAAGCAGCTGACATGAATTGGTGGCTACTAAGAAGTGCATTTTTGTTTTCTGCCATTGTTGTTTGCTTAATTTTGAGCATCACATGAATCTTTCTTTTTATTTTTCATTTTGCTGTATTTTTTGGTTTGTCAGTCAGTCAGTTTTTTTTTTTGTCTTTCAATTCCTTTTCTTGTAAATTCCTCCTTTGCAGAAAGAAGAAGTATTGTTTTGTTTAGACATGATGATGATTTTTTACCTTCAATTTTAATGATGTTTGGAAAACACGTGTCAACTGTAAATGAGAAATTACGTTAAGATACTGTTGCTTTTTGGGTATATAACTGTAAATAGCGGTTTTTAGACTTGATTTGAACAAGTCAAAGTGGTTAAAAAATAAGCATACTTTTAGCCATTTCAGTTTTCATCTATAAATTGATTATTTCGTGTCAAATTCAATATATGAAAATACTATAATTTACATAAATTCAATATTTAAAAAAAGACTAGAAATTTAAAAGTAACAAGCTTGAACTAATTATAAATTAGGGGCTAACAGTATGATTTTCCCTTTAAAAGACTATTTTTTTTTTTTTTTGGTTAAATTATTACAGGTTATTCGGCCTCTACTAGTGTCGGAACATATGATTGTTATTTATAATTAATTGAGTTGTAGAAAAATTCAAATCCTAAAAAGAAAATTATGTCCTAACAGTTTTCATCTATAAATTGATTATTTCGTGTCAAATTCAATATATGAAAATACTATAATTTACATAAATTCAATATTTAGAAAAAGACTAGAAATTTAAAACTAACAAGCTTGAACCAATTATAAATTAGGGGCTAACAGTATGATTTTCCCTTTAAAAGACTTTTTTTTTTTTTTGGTTAAATTATTACAGGTTATTCGGCCTCTACTAGTGTCGGAACATATGATTGTTATTTATAATTAATTGAGTTGTAGAAAAATTCAAATCCTAAAAAGAAAATTATGTCCTACATAATTCTTTAATTAAATTAATGTTACATCACTTCATTGACCTAGTATTTAGTGAGCTATTGGTGGTGGACTATAGTTGAACAAGTCTTGAGCAGATTTGTTACTGAAACTGGGCCATTAAAAATTATTTGGACCACTCGATTCATCTTGGACTTATCATCTAAGCCCAAAATACAAAAGGAATCTGGACCCTCAATTTGATCCAAATTCATTTCCTCGATAGGACCTGCTCCTCCTAAAAGACGAGAACTAGACGCTAGTAAGGAAGTTGAGGTTCTAACCATAACTTAAATTTTCTCTGTTTTAAAGAGGACCTCCTTAGCTCTGTCCTAGACTCTAGTGAGCTTGGTGTCTTGAAAACAAAAACGTCATAACACGAATTATTCTAAAAAGTGGCCATAACGGACCAAGCTCCAAGAGAATTTGCCGGTGGAAGATGGAGGGCATGCCACTATCGATGAGCTATGATAAGTGAACATGGGTACCTACGCAGCTACGCAATTTTTTTTTGAAAGAGATGCACACATAAATTGTGATAAATCACGGGTTCTCATTAGTGTCAAGAGTCTAGGATTTTCACATAAGGGAGCAAATAATATTGAAAGGACAAAATATGCATATAGTACGTATATATTAGAAGATTATCAAAAACCTTCTATATAACCCAAAAAATTTAAAAATAGTGGGTACGGTCGGTAATATATCCCTCCCCTTAGTTCTGATGACCATAGAATGTGCTATTTACACATTCGTATTTTTCTTACTCCTCGGAAATTCTAGCACCATCGAACTATTACGTGAAAATAAAGGAGAGTAGTGCAGGTTCATCAAAATTATTTCAATGCACTTAGAATTCCTCTATTAGAAGTCAAGTTGTCGAGCCAACAAAACATGACAGGATCCTAACCGTATGCACATCCAGGTTTAATTAGTGCGATTTTAACTGAACAAATGGTAACTCAGTCTAAAGAGGATCTAATTTTTAAAATATATGGTCCAGATTTAAAGAAAAATAATTTTTTTGTAGAATATATAGCAGTTGATAGAATAAAAATGAAAATAAATTATCAAATTTATTAAGAATAAAGTTTATTTTTCTTAATTATAAACGACAAAGAATTTGATTTTTGTTTTTTGGGGGGGGAGGAGGGTGCCTGCATATAATGTTAACGTAAGATAAAGTAGAAAGAATTTGTGACTCTTTATCATGATTATCGAATCTATGGATCTGCCTAATAATTTTATTATTTCAATTGACACAAAACAATCTTTTTGTACGATTGAATACAAAATATTTTGTTTATGCATTTAATATAAGGTAAAAAAAATTGGTATTTTTTTTCCATACAAAGTCACCAATCCAGCAGAGATTTTTTTTTGGGGTCTAATTCCTCAATTTGCAGACAGATCTTTGTTCGGAGAAAAAAAGTTAAAAATATAAAACACATGGAGAAAAGACCACAAAAGTTTATGATGAAAACATTCAAATAGAGAAAAATCACGTGCTGTCAAAGATAGAGATATCTCACACTATAAAAAATTTGTGCAATCATCAAGAATTTCTTGCACACTCCAACCCCCCAAATCAAAAACCTTAACCAACTCCACATTGACTGTGGATCTTCTAAAACCTCAAGTAGGAATCATTCCATGTCTCCTCAAAATTGAATAATTGTGCCTCTGTCTATATCCCCTCTCTTTGGTCTTTTAGAACGCGTCACTTGAAAATTTTTAATGAACATTTTCTATTACCATAAGGAGTATAAATACTTACAATCAACAAATTTTAAGAATTTCACATTATCACACATCGAATAAACCTGCTAAAAATTATAGTGCAACTCACATGTTCGGTTTTCCACGAGTTCATCAACACTTGATATAAATTCCACCACATTTCTGCGCCAATGACAAACCAATTTCTATGTGCAAAATTGTGGACCCGCTAATACATCCCCTATCACGACAACTTGTTTGCCAAACTCATGTCATAAGGATGAACATATTCTTCACTGAGAATATCCTTGCATCTCGAGACATATTGTTGCAATAATATCGATATCTCCATTTATTGACTTGAGCAATTAGCCGAATATACTCTTTTGGACAATTTTTCTTGAGCTGTCCACGTATGTCAAAACAAGATTAATATTTTTCTAAATACTTGTGCAATCCAGACTAAATCAAAACATCATTGACTTGTACTTGCAACAAACCAAAATTCATTCTCGCATCAAACTTTTCTGCATCACCTAATATATATTTTATGTACTCCACCACTCGAACAACGTGATGCTCTTATAAAATTTGATGCAAATTGAGATAAATTCCTCAATTTGCCACAAGATCATTGTCCAGAGAAAAAATAAGATGCTAGAAAATATAAAATACAGAGCAAAAAAAAAAAAAGATTTACGTGGAAAACTCTCAAATTGGAGAAGAATCATATGTTATGAAAGATATAGATATTTCACTATGTGATTTTTTTTGTACAATCGTACAGAATCTCTCACAAACACCCACAAGAAAATCCAAGAACAATTCATACCAGGTGAGACTACAAAGTATCCTCAAGTCTCACCTCAAGATAGCCCATACAAACAAAATACAGTAGAGAGGTTCATCTTTGTAGAACATGGTTAACTAATCATATTCCATGGTCAAGCTCTCACATGCACTGAAATATCTAAAGGTGATTTAAAGAGTTTAGACGGTCGTCTCCAACTTCCTATATCATATTTGTCTCCAATTAAATTTTGACACACCAAAACGATTTGAGATGTCAAAATTTTAGTGATAGATAATTCAACATGTAAAAAATGAAAGCTAAAAATCGTGTCAAAATGGCATTGGTACGTCAAAACTTTAATTTTGAGATATCCAATGATATAGCGAGACGAGGACCTTAGATCTTCACCCTGATTTACAAGAAAGGATAAAAAAAATTAATAAAAAATATAAAGGAACTAATCAAGAAAATTATTGAACTAGAAAATGACAGAGCATGTGACCAATGAATAATAATTTGTTAATTTTTTATATCAAGACTGCTATTAGGATATGATTGAATTAGGTTAACAACAAAGTAACATTTGATTTCATTATTGCCTACTAATTACACCTCTAAATACTGTGTCGGAATCTATCTCTCAAAAATATAATAGAGAAATAATTCAGAATAATTTCATTTTATTTAAGATAATATACTTTCAACAAAACAAGAACTAGATTCAAACAGAACAACAAAATATAATATAAAGGAATTATATTTAAACTAGGGTAAAGAATCTAAAAGAAACTTGGCCTTTCCCATTTGTACAAAAGAAGAATCACCAGAAATTGGCCAGAATAGATTAAAACAGTGGGCCTCACATTGTATTTAAATATTGTAAAAAATGACGAGCCCCACCTGAATGTGTGTGGTCTGGTATATTTCTGTGGTGTGCAGTTTTTGTACACCCAGCAAAATTCAAGAAACTTATGTAAATCATGTAATTTACTGGTTGGGGGAGGCAGACTTCTGACCCTACTAGAGGACTAGTGAGTATTTCTTTTCTTGAAATTTCTCGCTTATTTAAAACTATTTCTTTTCCTCTACTTCATAAAAATTCTATAATTTGGTCTAGAGAGACTTATTTAAAACTATTGAACTCAGAAGTCCTTGCTAACGATTATACAAAATGTAAATTTATAATAGAAGGGCAACAATTTTGCCGTTTTGGGCTCATTTAATACATTTTAAATCAAGAATTGACAAATTCGATTCCAAATTGAACTCTTTTCGTCCACAAAAATGGTATAAAGCCTTCGAAATCAAGTGCAACACTCGATAGAAATGTCACTTTCAAATTCCAATTGATAAAAGACTAAAACTTAACCAACATATATACAAGAGATGTAAATTATTCCCTCAAAACCCAGCTTTGCATTTACAAAGAAAAAAGGTTACTGCAAATAACAAAGTAATGCCACCCTATGATGATTATTTGACGAAATGCCGGAGAAAAAAACTGAAACCAATGATTCATAAGCACGCTTTTAAGGATTGGTTACTACAAATTGGTCATGGGGGAGCTGTATGTGTGTGTCAAATCAAATAATGACTAAAACAGTCACTCCAATCAACTCAAATGCGCAAATGAGTCCCAAACCACACATACTTTTCATTTGCTAGCGGTACAAAAAATTAATATTTATCAAAAATTATGATGGATTTGACCGAACATTAGTACATGTTTGGTAGGTCAAAATCAATAATTAATTTTAATCATAGATTCAACTTTTCAATTACTCATTTCATCGACTTTTATTAAAATATACTAAAAAACTCATTTCTAACAAACTAACAATATAACAAATATAAGAAGGAACTAAAAGGAGCTAGAATAAGCAGGAAGAAGGAGCTGAATTCTGTTGTTGAACGTGTTCCGGTTATTGAACTGATTAGCTGGTGCCTGCAGTTGCTGGTTTGCTGGTGAACTAGAGGTTGAGTTAACTGATGAACTGGTGGTCTTGCTGTAGAACGTGGGCTGCTGGTGCTCTGGTTTAATATTCCAACAGTGGACTTATTAAGTACTGATTGGTGTAAATTAAAAAGTTCAATAAAAATATAATTTAAAGTTAATAATTAATTTTAATTGGTAATTAAATTTTAATCAAGATTTTTGTAGTTTTCTTACCCTTCATTGTAATCTCTCACTACCCCACTAAGATATAAGTGATATTGTTCTATCCTTTTCTTTCTCTTTTTTTTTTTAATTCAAACCACCACAATATTGAAATATTTTATCTAATATCAATTATGGTCAAGAATGCATTCAGGAATCAGGACGCGATATTTGGTAGTGTAAGCCTCAGTTTGTCGCTTTTTAATTTAAAATTCTTTATTTTTCATACTCATTTTCAATTACATTTACTCAATAAAATATTTTGTATATGAACTCAAAAATCTTCTTACTTTTAATTACACATTCTCCGAAAAATCACTATTGAAAATATCATTTTTCCCTAATTTAAAGACTATCAAATAGGGGCTAAATTGAATAATAATAACTGTACAAAAGTAAATATAAGAAGTTAACATTTTACCAGTCAAGTATAAATCTTTGCAAATGGTTTCACATTACAATGGTTAAATATTTGTATGCTAAGTTCCAAGAAAACACTATATATTGCCTTGCCATGAAAGAAACTTCAAACTTAATCAACCAGTATTTTAACAATCTTTTCCCTGACCTTTAAGGTATTAATACAACATATAAATTATGGTTTCTGTTTGGTAAACTCGCATGATTAAAGTGTCATGCTTGAATAATTTCTCCCACTCCATCTTTTTCAACATCAATCCCTCCGTGAGCTTTCCAGTCATGTCTGAAAGATGTACTTCTTTTAACTGTTGAAACCTTCTGTTCCTCAGCTTTCTGTCCAATCCACTAATATTCCAAAAGGAATTACTCGTGGGGTCTGCCCCCAATCACCCAGCACTCTATCACTCTCTTGAGTTACTTCATCTCGTAAATTTTTTTCTGGTAAAAATTCGAATAGAAAAGATGAATGAAACTCCAGCTATAATCAAACTGCTGTTTAAGGATGTTGTCATCAAGAATCCCTCTTAGGTTCTTCATATGATGTTATGTTGCTGTTGTTATTATTGTTGTTTCTTGACCAATCATAGAAACTGAATGGATCCAATGCCTTGTTGTCTCCTCCTTCATCTCCTGAAAATCCATCCATGAATAAAAGATCCAAAGGGTCGGCTTCTATTTCTCCCAAATCTGCAAACAGATCTTCAGACTGGTTTGAACCCGACAATGCCGGTTTATAACTCTGGGAAGAGAACCCTTCATTTAATTCTGCACCATCCATTTCTAACTGGTTTTCGAGATCTTCCTTTTTCACATCCATGGGCGAGGGAATTGCATTTTCTGTATTGTTTTGGATATCTTTGTCTTTCAGGTATCTAGCCCTTTGGGACTGAGAATTGGGAGAAGTTTTTGAAGCTGGGCTATTGTTCTTGGATGGCTGGGATCTTGCGGAGCCTGCTAAAGCATTTCTCTGTGTCGGCCATGGATGGTTGTGCTCAGAAGTGTAGGTGATTACCAGCATAGTCGGGTCGGTCCGGCTCCGTTCGACTTGCTTTCTTGCTGAACAACCCTTTGAACTACTGCATCTATAGTAACCCCTGGCGTGGTGAATATCAAAAGGGACAAAAATTAATATTCGAACCTCCTAAACATGGTTCCCAATAAGAATGACATAAGACAGAGAATTAACAATGACCCTAAAAAATAAATTTAAATCAATAAACATTTTCCTTCTCTAACAATTACAAGGATCTTGTTTTACATTGTCTTATGAAAATTTCAAGAGAAGAGGGTTCGGACTAGGGACGTGTTGAATAGTTCCACACTACATCATTGTTAATTGATACAGTGTTAGTCAAATTTCCAAATAGGATTTTACTGGTAGAAGACATTCTTTCATACATACCTAATCCATAGAAAAAGAAAACAATTAGGCTTTAGCTTTGATATCAAAGCACATTTGCGTGCCAAAGACAAAGTATGACCTTAAAAAAAACATAAATATTTGGTATTAAATATTTATTTTTACATATTTATGGCGTGTTTGATGTAAATTTTTTGAGAAAATTATTATTTTTTTTTTTGAAAATTTTGTTGTTAAAAACTACAGAAAAATTATGGAAATCATGTGCAAAATTATTGTTGAAAATGAATTTTTGCCAAACAGCTGCTTAGATTGTCTGAAAATTGATCAAACAAGACAGTTAATTTTCATGAAAAAGGTATACAAAACAATGCTTCAACATGGGGTTGTGAAAGGAATGATTAGGTTACCTAGGATAAGGAGAACCTTTAATAGGTTTCTGTCCATACTTTCTCCATGCCCAAAGATCAGATGGGACAACTTCTCCACCACCACCAGGCCGGCTGTTTGCAGGCGCCGGAGCCGGTATACAAACTACCTTCTTTGCCTGACTCTTCCTGCAGATTTCATCAAAATCAGAATCAGTAGTACTTTTTTCTAACCTTGGAGATTCTTTCTTTCTTTTTTTGATCATTGGAAAGCTGAAAGTGATAGACAACTTCAAATACCAAACTATAGAAATCCAGTCAGGTGGGGTTTGGAGGAACAGTGTTTGCAAATAATAACATGTAAGCGAGCGAACTGACGAATTCTATTTTACTTTTTCGATTGGATTAAAACTCATATGTTGATGGAAAGTTGGAGTAATCGATCATAATTATTTTTACAAAACCCTATTTGGGCATGTAAAATCTATACTGTCAATCTCCTTAAAAATCAGATATAATTATACTTAATTTGTGAAGGTATACTGTTTTCTATAGGTGCTGTGGCATAAAATATAAGAACTTGAAAGTTCGATTTAGAGATAATCGTGGTTTAAGAAGAAAAATCTAACCTTCGTTTGATACCCGTGTTTCGCGGAGGCGAGATCTGAACACCAGGGTTTTCCATTAAGCAACTTTTGGAGCTATTTGGAGAAATCATGTGATCTTTAGATATTGAACCAGCAGCTGCGGCGGCCTTCAATCCTCCATGAGAGGCGGCAGCTTCCACCGGAGAATTGCGAGGGAATACCAGCAACTTTTCATTCGGAGAGATCTGGAGGATCCTTGAGAAGATATTGGAAGGTCTAGTTTTCATCTCATCATCTAGAATTTTATTACCATGAATGATATCACCACCACCAGACGCTCGATTTCCAGTATCTATAGAATTATTTGAATTGTTGAAGAACCCTGACACAGTTGTATCTATATCATGTAGAAATGGATCTCTCATGTTAGAAAATGGATGCCCAAAGTAATCGGATTGCTCTTCGATTCCAGAAGAATAAATAACGGGATTGCTCGGAAACTGCCAGTCTGCCGGAAGCGCCGGAACTGCAGTAGAGGTGTTGCTCCCTATGCTGCCGCCCCCGCCAGCTCGAATTATGTCATCTAAATCACCTTGATAATTATCCATTCTCTCGAAGAAATGACTACACATGATACTTAACACGACGCAGTCTTGGTAGGCTCTTCAGTTTGGATTATTTTACACCAAACAGACGTAAAGAACATGCAGTTTTTACGTATTTTAAGGTTCTCGATTGGGTTCTGAACAAGAAGAAGCAAAGAAGCATTTATTTCAAGATTAAAAACTTTATTCTAAGAATTGAAAACAGGCAAAGTTTTAGAGAGAGAGATAGCGGGGAAGTCGCTGACTTTTGATATAAAACTGATCTTCTCCAGACGCAACAAGTTGTTAATCTAATAGGGTTTTGCGCTGGTCGATTTTTTTTATAATATACATACACATCAAAAGGGTCATATTTCTGCAACTATTTTTGATTATTATAAGCTATAGTTTAGCTTATAATTGTTCTCTCCCTCACTTCTCTCTGGCAATGGCTGTCTTGTTTATCTGTGCAATAATAAGTTGTGAAAAAGTCAATTTTCAAAAATAAGTGATGGGAAAGTAAAGAGGCGGCAAGTAGCCGCAATTTTCGGACACCACTTACACGACGGGACCGCTGCTTAAGTTCAATTTCTTTCCCCAGTAATTTTCACTTTATTTTTCGGAAATATTAATTTTATTTCATATCAATCAAGTCGAGATATGTTGTTTTGACAGTTAACTATTCTTAAATAGAAAGATGCCAATGCGTAATGCACATGTAAAAAAAAATATGTTCACGTTTTTTCATTTATTAAGAAGAGAGTTTAATGTATTGAGAGTCAAAAAATAAGATAGCATGTTTGGAACGACAAACTTCAATGCATTGACGGATCCATGATAAGATTACAAGACGAGCTAATACGTTGAGTGAGGACTGGATCAGGCAACAGCCCCCCTCCATCCGTCCCTGCTCGAACGCTTTATCTATAAATATGAATAATGAACTACACACATGTATATATTATTGTCAGTAGTAGTTTAAGTTCGAGGATATAGATGAAGACAACTAAAATTCGGCAATTAATTAGTGAAAAATTAAGGTTCAATATATGAAATAAGATTTTGTTCTCTCTTACGAAATTTATTCCAGACCATCTCTTAATTTATAGACTTTTGTCCATCACAAATTTAAATATTTTGGCTTGTTAATGTTGTTATATTTTTTTGCTCTTTATTTGTCCTTGTTCTATTATTTGACAAGTTTAACACTGAAATATCCTAAGTTTAGGGTTTTAAGATAGCTACATGGTCTAGGATTTAGTTAGATATTGTAAAATTAGTCTTACTTTCTTCTAATATAAAATTTTAAAACTTCGTGCACACTTCATCTAACATGACACGCTGATCCTCAAGTTGCTTTTTTTTTTTCTTCTTCAGCGTAATACAGTATATTAAATTTTGGACTAGATCTCAAAAACTTCATATCATCATCGTCATCATCTATTGTCACGATTTCTAAATAATTTAATTTCAAATTAATTTTATTTTCTTACTTCTTAGTTTAATGATTCAAATTTCAGAAATTGTTGCAGGTTTAGCTAGTTTTTATTCAAATACTCGTAAAAAAGGGAATAATAATAATTAATAATAATTAGTGAACGAATTACATTAGTCCATTTTTTATGGTGAATTTTGGGTGATTAATTTAGTTTATTTTTATAATTGTCAAGGATTAAATTTAGATTTTTAGTAGATTGTAATAGAAATTTTTGAAATGTATAGTTGAAAAATTGTGGGACTCATAAAAGATGTGATTAATATTAATTGACTTGGATTAAAATCTGATTTTAATTTGAAATAAACAGAGCATATCAGTGTAACAATATAATTACTCTTTCTTTAGCTTCAGGAAGAAATTTGTTACTCAAAAATAATTCAATTTGTGATGATGTGTGATACAGGGAGTCAAAATATTAAATTTTTAATGGACCAATGATCCTAGAGGGAATCACCGGCCACTTTTCTACACGATGGGACATTACGGCAATCTTGTACTCACTGGATAAATAATTCCGTGTTTGGCACGGAAATTCTTCTAAACACCATTTATAATGAACTCCCTTCATCTTACTTCAAGACTTCAAATTTGAACCCTCTCTTATCCAAACATTAACTAGAAAAATGCTTCGACATATAATAAAGAGTAAGTCACATAAAAACTCATTCATTCCACAAATAAACAAAAAATTATTAATTCACAAAAACTGTCAAATAATTGAAAAGCGTTTCTAAAGTAATTCAACATCGAGAAAGAAAAACAACAGGGTCATGCTTCATGTCCTGTGCACCTTTTCATGGTCCAACTTAGCTTCCAATGCACGTACCACATCAACGAACATTCAAATCACCTTCTCTATCACGAAGAGTTCAATGCAGTAATCACGTATAATTTTATTTATATCACTAGGGAACCCTAGATTTAACCTCTATTTGTTGAGGATTAAAATTAGATTGATAGAAATTGATGAAAAGTGTGATGAAAAAGTTGTGGGCGGGCCACATGAAATTGTGGTCAAAATTAATTATTGATTTTGACTTTGATTAAAATCTTGATTTTAATTTTCACATGGGCTCAGTGTGGGAAATTGATATGATTGGATTGGATTGGATTCAAACATAACATACCCTAACCCCTAACCTACCCTACCCTACCCCAACCCCACGTTTGTTTTAAAAAACAAAAAAACAAATTAACACTGAGATTCTCTGTAATAGCATTGATTTAGAGAATTAATTTGTCATTCCGGCCCACAACTACAAAGAATCAGAATCATCCTTCCATGTGATCAACGAAAATAATTTAATCATTATTTTAATTAGAACTATATAATGACAGATTAAGCTCCACATAATGACAAACCTACCTCGATGCTTACGACTCATTCAAGATGAATTTAATTAATCAGAAAAAAAAAAGCGATTAAATAGTTAGTCAAAATAAGTGATTAATTAATTTTCCCAATGGATCCGCACGCGGGACACCTTGCCTAAGCGGTAGCGACCGCTCCTGACGTCAACCGCCTAGCTAACGGCCCAACTCACCATGAACATTCATCCTGGCCGTCTAATTTTGTTGGCATGTGTGGCTGAGATCATCCGGCCACCTGTTTTTTCGGCTTTGATTTTTTAATTATTTTTTTCTTCTACACGGAGATAACAGGTCAAATTTTTTTATACATAATTCAGCTGTGTACGTGTCTTTCTTGTGTTGGCAAAAAATGTGACAATTAACCCTTTTTTTTTTTTCATATTTTTATTTTGCTATTAATTAATGTAGAATTATTTCTCTAATAGTTACCTCATATCTGCAAACAAATAAATATATATTTTATCTTTGAAATGGTTTGAAAAAAGTAATTATAAAAATTATAGTATTTGCTTTCATTATTTTTGTCTCAAAATTGTTATGATTTTCAACTTGATATCGGAGCACTAGATTTCTGCTACGAGCCATCAAGATCAAATTAATAACGTGACTCAAACAGGGACTTAGTCTGTGTAGCTGCATATTAATCTGCACATGGAAGGTCGCTAAAGTATAATGAAACGTGAATAAAAATATGCATGTGTTTCAGAAAATTATAACTATAAATTTTGAACTTAAATACAATTTAATAAAGTGAGAAGATAAAAAGTATTGTCCCTAGGATTCTGTAGCAAGTTGCGCTATTGCATGTGGGCATGAAGACTTTACTTCACTTGAAAAAAAAAATTTGAATTTATCTTAATTTTTGGGATCCGTTTCGAAATCCCATGCTCCTTTAAGTGCATTCGAAGTACAGAAAACCATAGCCCAGTACACAACTTTTAACGATTGTCGATCTATTAGAAGAAAACATTTTAGTAGTTACACAAAGGACTAAGGTTTTCCAAATCAAAAGATAATAGAGCACTTCTTGTCCCAAAGTTACAAAATTATAACACCGAGGTACTTTGACATAGTTCCTCTCAATGGTCATCCTCTACTTGTTTATCAACGAGAGGATTGCCCTCTAAATTTATTTTTTTCTAGAAATTTTAATGTTGACTATGATCAATATTGCGAATATGAAGAAACTTATATTGATGAAATGGTTGTATGCTTTACTCCGTTGAAAATTATAAATTCTAATTCTATAACATGGAGAGTAAATAGATACAAAAGAACGAGCAAATTTATAGTTGTTTGTCTCAATGTGAAACTGGGGTAGAGCTAGAAGATAGGATCTGTGGGCGCAAATACAGAAAAAAAATTATTGTGAGGGAAAATATCGAAAACAACAAAGACTTTTGAAAATCTTGAAAAAAAATTTAGGTATAATATTGAATTTTCTAATTTACTGTGTGGGCAAGTGACCTCATTGCTCCCATTGTAAATCCATCCCTGATGTGAGATTACGTCATCTTCCACTGCTATAGTAATTCTCTATCATGAAAAAAGCTTTTTTAAAAAAATAAATCCGGCACAACATTTCTTCTCTAACACCTCTCTCCCTTGATAATTATACAAAATTCTAATGATACTCTATTTATAAGATAAATCGGCATAAAATTGAAATTACCAATGCGAAATTTCAAAATTATACTAAATATAAATAATTAGGCTCACAACTTAACAAGTTCGATCTCAGACTCGTGCTCTAATAAAAACACTAAAGGTACACGCTTGTCATGTTGGAGCTGCCAATACATGCATGGATTTGGTGGGCGTGATATTTCTGGTGCACGATTGGGGACGGCATTGGTCCTGGTTTGTGTCTGGCAACTTGTTTAACAATATAATTATATATACTTCCGTGCCTAGAACATGCTAAGATGTCGCAAACTGAGATGCATTAAATTTGGAATACTGTTATATAAGATTCCAAAAAATCATTAGATGTGAAGATGTGTAATAAAATAAGATTTTCGTGCAGACCAATTTTAGGTCCCACCCTCCACCTCTAGTGCATCCAAAAGTTCAATGGTAGAGTCCACTTTCTAGCGACTTCAATTTTGGGGTTGAGTAAAGTTATATAGACCAACGAAGGTGACTTTGTTGTATAATATCAAACATGTGGGATCAAATCCGATTGACCTTGCAAAGTATATATACATACATGTGTGTGTGGGGTGGGGTGGGGTGGGGGGGGTCACGACTAGCGTAGTGCCATTTTAGACCGATGGTGAATAAATTTCCTTAGACTTGTCCCGGCCCACAAGACAGATGTGTGGTTGGGGGCTAAAACCCCGAATGAGGTTGCGAGAAGGTTTGTGAATAGCAATGGAGGTCGTGAAAGGAGCGATGAAGGATGGTAAAGATGTATTGAACATGATCTAAGATGGACATTGTAAGTGTAATTATAATTATGCATATGAACTTTTACAATATGCATCATTTTTTACTTATTGAAGCAGAGTGATGAACATGTTATAGTTTGGAATAAAAACCAGAAAATGTTACCAACGAATATTTCAGAGGGAAAAATTCATAACTAAGAAATTAATTATGACCAATTTCAAAACTAAGAAATAGGGATTAAAATTTCAAAAAAAAAATAATAATTAAAATTTATTTATGAAATAATTAATTTAGAATCTATTTTATTAATTAAATATATTGAGGTCACAATTCTTTACAATTTAGTCATAAATGAATTAATCGATCACAAATCAAAATTTTATAGGCCACAAATTATTTTATGGTCACAAATCAAAAAATTTATTGGTTACGATTTATTTATCGGTCACAAATTACAAAATTTATATATCACAACTTATTTTATGGTAAAAAAAATCATTGAATTAATTAGTCACAAGTTATTTCTTGTGAGTCACGTTTACATTTTTTATGTCACATAATATTTATTAATCAGATTCAATCAAATAAGTGGTCAAAAACACCCTCATCACATCTAGGTTTTATTTAAAAAAAAATTGAAAACTCATATTTTTCACCTCCAAATCCGATTGACCTTGCAAAGTATATATGCACATACATGTGTGTGTGGGGTGGGGTGGGGTGGGATGGGGGGTCACGACTAGCGTAGTGCCATTTTAGACCGATGGTGAATAAATTTCCTTAGACTTGTCCCGGCCCACAAGAAAGATGTGTGGTTGGGGGCTAAAACCCCGAATGAGGTTGCGACTTGCGAGAAGGTTAGTGAATAGCAATGGAGGTCGTGAGAAGGGAGTGATGAAGGATAGTAAAGAAGTATTGAACATGATCTAAGATGGACATTGTAATTGTAATTGTAATTATAATTATGCAAATGATATTTTATCGTAAAAAAATCATTAACTTAATTGGTCACAAGATATTTCTTGTGAATCACGATCACATTTTTAGGTTACATAATACTTATTGATCATCAAATAAGTGGTAACAAACACCCCCATCCCATTTAAGGATGTCAACGAGTCGAGTCGAGTCGATTCGCGAGTTGAAACTGAAGGTGTGGATATTGCAGTTGTAGTCTTCTTTCTAATAGTCATAGTCGTCGCAGCGACATCAAGCTCGCCTCTTTCAGAGCGACACCACTGCAGCTAGGCATCACGCAAGTGCCGCTTCGCTGAGGTTCATTGCTCTCGGAGCGAAGCCGCTGTGGAGGCGACGTGAGTGCCGCACTGATGTTGCCTTCGGTGAGGGTGTGTGGCAAAGACAAAGAAGAGAAGGAAGAGAGAGAGAGAGAGGAGGAGAAGGAAAAATGATTAGGATTTGGGATTGAAATTTGGTGGGGTAGATGGAGGTATGGTAGGTATATAGATTAATTTAGTTTTAAAATTATAAGAACTTGAACAGCCTTAAATGGATCGACACCAAGCCCACTCTTATTTGTACAAATACCAAAAGCCCACTA